AATGACACAGATCCATTTTGTTGGAGTTCTGTGCACTTTCTCAGGTTGCAGAATTGTGTACTGGGCCCGGTCAAGCAGAAGTAAACAACAAGGCCAAAAATTCAAGTTAATGCATCTGATATAAAAATGTATTGAACAGATACATATGTACTCTAGTTTATGAAACTGTTGACCTTTTTTCTGTTCCATTTTTGGTTCTAAAGTTCCATATGTTTTAAACAGACCATGTATGAAACATGGAACAAAAATTATTTCCCAAATTTCAAAGACCTGAAAATCATGTCAATAAATGGATGTATTTCATCATATCTTGTGTTATTCCATCTTTGAACTGTTGATGAAGGGTTCATGATTTAAAAAAAAATAAAAAAAATTTAAATGATAAAAATTTGCTTGGAAGGACTGACATATTTTATAGAAATAGTTTCCTTTCATTTTGAAGTAATATTAAAGTATTGAGAAGAAAAAAGTTGACAAATGATGTAAAATCCTGCACCTTCTACTTGTTTGTACAATTTTCCCTCCGTTACTTTTCCCTCCGTTACCATGACCTTTCTTAATAAAAAATCTCATGAGTCAAAAAGTAAGAGGTTTTTCAACCTAATCTTGTACCATATGGTAGAAAACTATATGAAGCAAATATTCAAACCAGTTTGTTAAGGATATGGAAGTGAGAACCAAGAGTTATCACTGTTTGGATTTATTGCCCAAAAAGTGCTGCATATTTCATTCCCTCCGTTACCGACATGAGTTTTTAAATTTTTTGTCTTGAACTTGAAAGAATATCACAGGTTTAACTTGACCCTGTTGGAGTGTAACTCTTTCCTACATTCTGATACTTTACTTATTTCAATAGTTCCTCTAGTTTCTGAATAAGAGACATTTGAATGTCAAAAATCGGCCCCTGTTTCCCTCCGTTAACACTTGACCGGACCCAATTGTCTCTTTGTTTTTCTTCAAATACAAGGAGAAATCAAGTTGTTTGTGTCATTAAAGTGGTAAATATTATCTCAGTTGATAGATACAATCCCTGATAACAGAAAAACATACTGTTGTTGTGTCACTGGGCAAAACACAGGTGTGACTGTGACTGGAGCTGTAACAGGAGAGTGACTGACGAGTGCATGAATAATGTTATAACAGTCATGTGATTCTCGTTGTAAATTTGGGGCTTGTCATAAATGTATTTAAAGGTGCACTATGTCACTTTTTCTTTGGGGGTCTGTCACCTGCTTGTTTCTATGGATATGTCATGGAATGTTCCACAGTGTGACATTAAACAGCTCTATCTTACATTTATTCAATCACAGGTGGTTTTATAGCTCAAAAATAAAACAAAACACACATTCTGACTGAGCGGGGTCGCCTCTCCACAGATCTGACCTGTAACTTGGTCTGGTTTGATGATAGAAAGATTTAAAGCCATACTGTGAAACATTCCAGACAAAGCAATAACATGTGCATAGAGAAAAGCTTTTAACAGACCCTCCACCAGAAAAGTGACACAATACACTCTTCATATATGACAAAAGGACAGATGCAGAGCTCCTCCATCAGCTGACTGAAAATAATCAACATGTTTTTGTTTTTTGTTGTGTTTAACTCACATTAAAAGAGATCACAGAGGTCTGAAGCTAACAAGGTAATAAGTGTGGATCTATGGCTGAGGCTGAGGTAAGAGACGAGATTATTACTACATTATTTACATATCTGATCCAGTTTGTAGTTAAAAACACTTTTTTTTTTTTTTTTTAACTGTCTCTTGTTTGATGGATAAGGAACAAAAACAAAGCTCCAAACCAGCAGAGACGTTTCTGCAGTCTGAAGTTAGACTAGGTAAGGAGATAAGGAGGTAAGACTGTGAAATTCACAGAATTTTGATCATGATTTCAATTTGTGTGTCAAACGATCTCCAAACTCATATAAACGAGTTGAAACAATAACAACATTTATGTTGGGATATTTTTTATATAAATAAGTATATTTATTTTATTTTTGACATATAGAGATTTCTAGGGATGTAACGATATCCAAATCTCTCGGTACGATATTATAACGATATGCATTTCACGATACGATATTTCTTGTGATATTCTGGAGAGGCTGATATAATTGATGATGTGACACTTTTTTCGCTTTTAAAATACCCTGACATGATTTTGATGTGAATTATTTTCATCATAATCCCAAGAATTGAAGTAAAAACATATTTCTTCATGTTGTCTGTGCTGAAATGAATCATGGGAGATGTAGTTCCTGATGTTTATAAGCTGTTGCTGCATTTAACCAAAGGAACTTGTGATTGGATATATTATTGTGATATTGTGACAGCCCACAGTATTACTGTGAGACTTCTGATGATACAATATCAAGATATTTCGGTTATTGTTACATCCCTAAAAGTTTATTTTATTTGTTTTATGTTTTATACACTGCAAAACTGCTCTAAGGTTCAGATTTGTAACCTATATTTATTTTCAATTTGAAAGTTTTGTGTAAATGATCAATAACAAAGTGTTTTTGGTTTTTCTTGAGAGAGAAATGCTGAATAAATGCATCGTGTAACTAAAAAAATAATCTTTTAAATAATCGTGATTTCAATATTGACCAAAATAATTGTGCTGATGAATGATTTTTTCCATAATCGAGTAGTACTATACCAAGGTTTTCAATCTGACAAAAAAAGAGTTGTTTTTTAATGAAAATGTGTTTTTGATTAATTATGAAAGTCCTAAATAAGCTTTTTTCAGTTTAGTTTTGTCTTAGTTTTTATTTTATTTTTAAAAGTCTGAAGGACGCACGTCTAAACTGAAACTGTGTTGTAAAATCAAAATAAAAGATCATAAAATCATAATAAGAGCTGTACCACTTCTTTTCCAGTACGGCGCTGTGAGGTTAGCCATTTTTTAAAGATGATTTATTTCCTGATCTCTGTTCTAATGTCGTTTCCTCATCACACACAGACCTACAGTTGTGTTTTGTTTCATTCACACATACAGTATTTAACACACAAACGCTGCACATTTAGACTGAGCTCTTCCTTCAAACAGAAAACACTCCAACAAGTTCCAACTTGTGATGTAATGAGGTAAAATAGAAAGCGCTTCATTGTGTTTTTAAACTCCACACACCTTCACTAGAATCATTTGAATCATTTCAGTCCTGGAAATGCCAAACTCTATTGAACTGAAGGTAAAAGGTTAGGGTTAGTTAACTCAAAAACTCCCACTACATGACATCACAAAGTGGAACAGAGCATTTGGAGGTTTTGGAGATGTAGACAGACAGAAAGAGTTACTCAAACATGTATGAATGAAACAAAACTGAAACCTGAAACTGAAAACAAAGTATAATTTTTGCCAGACGGTTGAGCTCCAGCAGTTTTGGTCCGTGTTGTGCGTACCGTCTTTTGGGGGCGTGTCGTACGTCATGTCATACAGGACCTCGAAGTCGAAGCCCAGGAGGTCGATGGGGATGGTGTGCTTCCGAGCGTAGTTCTGCTGAGAGCCGGTGAGGAACGCCTGAGTGAAGAAGAACCCGGAGATCCAGAACACAGCAGGAGCGCCCTCGTCAAACCAGTCCTGAGAAAACAAACACACAGACAGAGGGTGAGGAGAGAAGAGACACAGGAGCAGAGACAGAAGAGAAGAGCCAGAAGAGAAGAGTCAGAAGAGAAGAGCCAGAAGAGAAGAGCCAGAAGAGAAGAGTCAGAGAGAGACAGAAGAGAAGAGCCAGAAGAGAAGAGTCAGAAGAGAAGAGCCAGAAGAGAAGAGTCAGAAGAGAAGAGCCAGAGGAGCAGAGACACAGGAGCAGAGCCAGAAGAGAAGAGCCAGAAGAGAAGAGTCAGAAGAGAAGAGCCAGAAGAGAAGAGCCAGAAGAGAAGAGTCAGAAGAGAAGAGCAGAAGAGAAGAGTCAGAAGAGAAGAGTCAGAAGAGAAGAGACACAGGAGCAGAGACACAGGAGCAGAGCCAGAAGAGAAGAGCCAGAAGAGAAGAGCCAGAGAGAAGAGTCAGAAGAGAAGAGTCAGAAGAGAAGAGCCAGAGGAGCAGAGCCAGAGAAGCAGAGTCAAAGGAGTAGAGCCAGAGGAGAAGAGCCAGAGGAGAAGAGTCAGAAGAGAAGAAGAGAAGAGCCAGAGGAGCAGAGCCAGAGAAGCAGAGTCAAAGGAGTAGAGCCAGAGGAGAAGAGCCAGAGAGCAAAGAAGAGAAGAGCCAGAGAGAGAGCAGAGCAGAGCAGAGAGCAGAGTCAGAGGAGCAGAGGAGCAGAGCCAGAGGAGAAGAGCCAGAGGAGAACAGTCAGAGGAGCAGAGCAGAGGAGAAGAGTCAGAGGAGCAGAAGAGAAGAGCCAGAAGAGAAAAGTCAGAGGAGCAGACAGGAGCAGACAGGAGCAGACAGGCATATCTCCTTGGACTTTGACACAGACTGATAGTGTGTGGAGTGTGGGAGTGTTGTGAGCCAGAGTAGAGGGCTGCAGTGTGAGGGGAGAGTGAGTGAGCAGAGACTTGAGAGCTGTGAGGAAGAACACAAGAGGAACGAGCTCAGAGCCACAACACGAGCCACAGAGCACGAAGACGAGCCAGCCTGCAGACACGACACACTGGAGAATACAGACAGGGCACTGGGGCTGGAAAAGGATCCACAATCAGATACTAATTAATGCGGAAACTAGTGTCCAAACTAGATTCATTTTAGATTCACTCATTTGAGCAGGTATCCATACTGAAAAAGTCCCACTGACAGGACAAAAATGAATCTTTCCTGAATGTCTTTAGAATGATGTTGAGTTGTATAAGAACAAGAAGAAGACACATAGACTAGTACACACACGGACCAACATGAACCTACTGCACCCCTGAGGATCACACACACATAACACACATGAGAATAGAAAAGAAAACACTATCATTTAATGTGGAAAATCACATTCTATTGTCTTTTTTTAAATTATAATTGTGATATCAGAATCTGTATTGAATATTGAGAGTATTCCTTGGTTTCTACTTCCTGAGAAAGTTCAGGTCTTTCAGTGTGTGCAGCAAGTTCCTGGAGATCTTCTCTCAGTCTGTGGAGGCCAGTGCCCTGAACGTCACTGTGTTCTGCTGGAGGAACAACTCCAGGAAAAGACAAACTGATGTGTAAAGCTGCTCACGTGATCCACTGTGAGCTGGACTCTTGTCACAGTGAGGGACACGAGGACACTGGACAAACTGCTCTCCATCATGGACACTCCTGCTCCCCCACTGTACCAGAGGGACAGATAATACTCCCTACAAATGTACAACAACTCACCCACTGCACCAGACTATAGAGAGACAGATAATACTCCCTACAACTGTACAACAACTCGCCCACTGCACCAGACTATACAGAGACAGATAATACTCCCTACAACTGTACAACAACTCACCCTTAAGTAACAGATAATACTCCCTACAACTGTACAACAACTCACCCTTATGGAACAGATAATACTCCCTACAACTGTACAACAAACTCACCCTTATGGAACAGATAATACTCCCTACAACTGTACAACAACTCACCCTTATGTAACAGATAATACTCCCTACAACTGTACAACAACTCACCCTTATGGAACAGATAATACTCCCTACAACTGTACAACAACTCACCCTTATGGAACAGATAATACTCCCTACAACTGTACAACAACTCACCCTTATGGAACAGATAATACTCCCTACAACTGTACAACAACTCACCCTTATGGAACAGATAATACTCCTTACAACTGTACAACAACTCACCCTTATGGAACAGATAATACTCCCTACAACTGTACAACAACTCACCCTTATGGAACAGATAATACTCCCTACAACTGTACAACAACTCACCCTTATGGAACAGATAATACTCCCTACAACTGTACAACAACTCACCCTTATGGAACAGATAATACTCCCTACAACTGTACAACAACTCACCCTTATGGAACAGATAATACTCCCTACAACTGTACAACAACTCACCTTTATGGAACAGATAATACTCCCTACAACTGTACAACAATTCACCCTTATGGAACAGATAATACTCCCTACAACTGTACAACAATTCACCCTTATGGAACAGATAATACTCCCTACAACTGTACAACAATTCACCCTTATGGAACAGATAATACTCCCTACAACTGTACAACAACTCACCTTTATGGAACAGATAATACTCCCTACAACTGTACAACAACTCACCTTTATGGAACAGATAATACTCCCTACAACTGTACAACAACTCACCTTTATGGAACAGATAATACTCCCTACAACTGTACAACAATTCACCCTTATGGAACAGATAATACTCCCTACAACTGTACAACAATTCACCCTATGGAACAGATAATACTCCCTACAACTGTAGAACAATTCACCCTTATGGAACAGATAATACTCCCTACAACTGTAGAACAATTCACCCTTTATGGAACAGATAATACTCCCTACAACTGTACAACAATTCACCTTATGGAACAGATAATACTCCCTACAACTGTACAACAACTCACCTTATGGAACAGATAATACTCCTACAACTGTACAACAACTCACCTTATGGAACAGATAATACTCCCTACAACTGTACAACAACTCACCTTTATGGAACAGATAATACTCCCTACAACTGTACAACAATTCACCCTTATGGAACAGATAATACTCCCTACAACTGTACAACAATTCACCCTTATGGAACAGATAATACTCCCTACAACTGTACAACAATTCACCCTATGGAACAGATAATACTCCCTACAACTGTACAAAAATTCACCCTATGGAACAGATAATACTCCCTACAACTGTACAACAATTCACCCTTATGGAACAGATAATACTCCCTACAACTGTACAACAATTCACCCTTATGGAACAGATAATACTCCCTACAACTGTACAACAATTCACCCTTATGGAACAGATAATACTCCCTACAACTGTACAACAATTCACCCTTATGGAACAGATAATACTCCCTACAACTGTACAACAATTCACCCTATGGAACAGATAATACTCCCTACAACTGTACAACAATTCACCCTTATGGAACAGATAATACTCCCTACAACTGTACAACAATTCACCCTTATGGAACAGATAATACTCCCTACAACTGTACAACAATTCACCCTTATGGAACAGATAATACTCCCTACAACTGTACAACAATTCACCCTTATGGAACAGATAATACTCCCTACAACTGTACAACAACTCACCCTTATGGAACAGATAATACTCCCTACAACTGTACAACAACTCACCCTTATGGAACAGATAATACTCCCTACAACTGTACAACAACTCACCCTTATGGAACAGATAACCCTGTGACCTGTCAATCATCATATCATAGTTGCAGTGTCTTCTTATGAGCTCTTGTAAAAAGCTGAGATTTTATATTTTTTTATACTTGTTCTTTTTTTCCTACTTATTTAGAATTTATTATTATTACCATTTATATTTTTACTCTTTGTTATTGTAATACATTGTGATGTGTGAGTCCTTCATTGATCCTTGTGAATCAATAAAGTTTGTCCAAGTCTGAGTGTGAGTTTGAGATTTCAGTATGATGTACAGTCCAGTGTTGTGTTGGGGGTGGGGAGCTTTGTGGAGAAGGCGGGGCCTGTTGTGTTTTTATGTTTGATAAGTGTGTGCGTGACTCAGCACAGCTCAGTGCATGAACACTGGACTCATATGATCCACATGTTGGTATGATCCAGAGTCACATGTTCTCCAGGATTATGAAGTCTTACAGTAGAAATATGAAGAGTACAACCTGGAAATGGCACAGGCCGGAGGTGGTCTGAGCACATGCCTCGTCTGACCTTTACACAACAAACCCGGGCCCTGTGTTCAGGCCCGTAGCAGTGTCTCTGTACAACCTCAAACATGAACACACTAAACCCCCCGACAGGTACTGACCAGGGCCCTGGCTCAGACCTGCTCCACTCAAGGACAATACAACTCTGTGTCCAGTGGAATTCCAAAGATATTCATTTATTCAGACGCAGGGCTGTGCAGAAATATTGAAATGTCGCTATATTGTATTGTTTAATGTGATGATACAGTATCGATATCGTGGGCTGCTGTATCGATATATATTCAAGAGTACTTTTTGGTATATTTTACTAAATTATTTTGTTTCAGCTACAGTTTTTGTTGCTTGTTTGGAGGAAGGAAACTTATGTGTTTATGTGACACATTTGACATTTTCACTGTTCTGATGATTAAAATGTTTGTGTTTCATATGAACTTTATATGAGCACGAAGAAGTGATTTAACAAACATTTTTAGTATCACAGCCATGACTTAGAATTGCACTGTATCGAGATATGTATCGATATCGTGGCCTATGTATCGAGATATGTATCAATATCGTGGCTTATGTATCGAGATATGTATCGTATCGTGGCCTATGTATCGAGGTATGTATCGTATCGTGGCCTATGTATCGAGGTATGTATCTATGTATCGTGGCCTATGTATCGAGGTATGTATCGTACCGTGGCTTATGTATCGAGATATGTATCGTATCATGGCCTATGTATCGAGGTATGTATCGTATTGTGGCCTATGTATCAGGATTTGTATCGTATCGTGGCTTATGTATTGAGATATGTATTGTGCCGTGGCCTATGTATCGAGGTATGTATCGTATCGTGGTCTATGTATCGAGGTATGTATCGTATCGTGGCCTATGTATCGAGGTATGTATCGTATCGTGGCCTAATGCATCGAGATATGTATCGTATGTATCGTGGCCTATGTATCGAGATATGTATCTATGTATCGTATCGTGGCTGTATGTATGTATCTATGTATCGATATGTATCGTATCGTGGCTTATGTATCGAGGTATGTATCGTATCGTGGCCTATGTATGTATGTATCTATGTATCGAGGTATGTATCGTATCGTGGCGTATTATGTATCGAGGTATGTATGTATCGTATCGTGGCCTATGTATCGAGGTATGTATCGTATCGTATCGTGGCCGTATTATGTATCGAGGTATGTATCGTATGTATCGTATGTGGCCTATGTATCGAGGTATGTATGTATCGTATATGGCTTATGTATCGAGTATATGTATGTATCGTATCGTGGCCTATGTATCGAGTATGTATCGTATATGGTATATGTATCTATGTATATGTATCGTATCGTGGCTTATGTATGTATGTATGTATGTATGTATCGTATCGTGGCTTATGTATCGAGGTATGTATCGTATCGTGGTATCATGTATGTATCGAGGTATGTATCGTATCGTGGCTTATGTATCGAGGTATGTATCGTATCGTGGCTTATGTATCGAGGTATGTATCGTATCGTGGCTTATGTATCGAGGTATGTATTGTATCGGCAACTTCTTAATGATCCCCAGCACTATTCAGATGTGAAGTTCTCTCCGCCCATTTCTATGACTTGATCAGTTGGAGTCAAAGTGTTACATCAAATCAAATGTTCCAGTGCAGTTTCTGTATTAGAGTACGGCCTCTCTGACCTCATGGAAACGTGCTCCATGGGCTGGTACCATCGACACACTCTTGATTATTCATCAGGATTCTCACTCTTTTTCACTGACAACATTTCTAAACTTTTCCATGACTTTTCCATGACCTAAAGTGAATTTTCCATGACTTTCCAGCACCTACATGTGTAGAATTGATCAGACTTTTAGAGCTAAATCTGAAATGTGAACTCTTTCCACTCACTTTATGGTTTGGGATTATAGTTTTTAACATTCAAAATCCTGTCAGTGCATTTATTTGTCGTTGCTTTTTCAGAAATAATCAGAATAGCCTCATGAGAACTTAACAGAACACTGCAGATGTGTGAAAGAGGTACTAAAATCCCATGACTTTTCCAGGATTTCCATGTCTGTGAGAACCCTGATTCATAATTTGTGATTTTTGGAGGCTATAGGCAAATACAGTGGACTGGTTCTGGTTTTCCAAAATCTTCCTTCACTACGTTTCATCACATCAGAAGATCCTGGTAGTACTACCCTCAAGGTGTTATGAGAATGAAACTTATTCTCTCAGCAAAACATGTCTGGAACTCAAGGATTTGTCTGGAGTTTTGTACATGTGATCAAGACTAGTGTTTGTGTTTGTTGCCGTGGTTACGCTGCGGTACCTGGAAGAACTTGAGCCTCTCCAGGAAGTCGTTCATGTAGCTGCCCAGAGGTTTGAGGCTGGGGTAGGACTTCTTCTTCCACATGGCAGGGATCCGACCGTTTAAGATACTGTTGACCACCTCCTCCAGCTCTGCAGACATCACCACCAGACCCTGCGCACACACAACATCACAGCGTCAGAGTATAGAGCTGTGGCAGACGTCCACACAGACACACGGGGCAAAAAAAAACAAGACTAAACTAGAGCCACGGAACAACGTGATTAGTTATGCTTAGTTACTACTGGTAAATATATTTATTACTCTGCACAGTCAGAATACTTTCACAAATAATAGAATGTAGCTTTAAAAGTGCTGTTAGTACTGTTCATCATGGTTTAGTCCTGGTTTAGTCCTGGTTTAATCCTTGGCTAGTCCTGATTTAGTCCTGTTTTAGTCTTGGTTTAAGTCTGATTTAGTTTAGATCTAGTTTAGTCCTGTTTAGTCCTGGTTTAATCCTTGTTTAATCCTTGGCTAGTACTTATTTAGTCCTCAATTAGTCCTTGGGTAGTCTTGGTTGAGCCTTAGGGTAGACCTGGTTTAGTCCTTGTTTAAGTCCTAGGTTAGACATGGTTTAGTCCTGGTGTAGTCTTTGTTTAGTCCTGGTTTAGTTCTGGTTTAGTCCTGGTTTAGTCCTGGTTCAGTCCTGGTCTAGTCCTGGTTCAGTCCTGGTTTAGTCCTGGGTTAGTTCTGGTTTAGACCTGGTTTAGTCCTGGTTCAGTCCTGGTTTAGTCCTGGGTTAGTTCTGGTTTAGACCTGGTTTAGTCCTGGTGTAGTTCTGGTTTAGTCCTGGTGTAGTTCTGGTTTAGTCCTGGTGTAGTTCTGGTTTAGTCCTGGTGTAGTTCTGGTTTAGTTTACAGATGTTCCTGATTTACTGTTGTAGTTTCGTTCCGGTCCGAGTTCACTCCTGGTTTAATCCTTGCTGTTCTACATCACATGTCGAATCACGCAGCTCTAAGCTCAGGTTTATGAACGAGGGAGAAGCCGATGGGCAAAAGAAAAAACTGAAAAACAAGTGTAGAAAATCACATGTGACGGAAGCAGGAGGTCGAGAAGAGCTAAAAGAAGAAAGGTTGTGTCTTATGTAAGAGGAAGGGAGGGGGAGGGGCGGTAAGAGAAGTAATGAGATTACACACGAGGTATTATGATCAACTTTTTAGAGCTTTCTAGTATAACACTGTTCCCTCATCAAAGTGGTTTTCTGAATTATTCAAGCATGTTTGAGAGAGATCTTGTGGTCTCTCACGGAATTAATCAAACCACAGGAGTGTGAAGCCCCTCTTCAAGCTTCTCAGTAGAACTATTTGAAGAGAAAGGCATATAAAGTGTAAACAAACACAGAGCTGTCCTGGTGTGGTTCTGGTTTGAGCCCAGTTTAGTCTGGTGTAGAGTTGGTTTGGTTAGATCTGGAGCTTTATCTTCTTTCACGTTGTTTTCAATAATCCTTTGGGAAAAGTCTTCAGAGAGAACGACAATAGATTTTTCCCAGGATTGTTGCATCACAGGCAGAAAGCCGTAAATCATTACCACACTTGTTCACATTGCATTCATTACATTCATCTTCTCTGTTAGCTGGGATTGTTTTTTTCCCCATGGTAATTCTCTCTGCTGCAGTAGATGGTGTGATGATGACACTTAAAGGTCCAACCTGAAACTTCACAGCACATGTCTAGGTTTGTCTTTGTTCCTTATTCCTCAAACAACCTTTCAAGAGTGTATCTTTAAACACAAACTGTATTCAATATGTCCATAAATAATGTAGTAATGATCTACCACAGGATGGTAGGATTACCAGTGTGTCTCACTAACTGACAGTCACCACTAACACTATCTTAGTTTAGCTTCTTACCTCAACCTCATCCACCTTCGTCACTCTTACAACCTTGTTAGCATTAAGTGATTGCAAACTCTTTATAATGCAAGAAAAAGGAAGAAAAAGCAACAGCTGCTGCTTGGACCAGAAGTGACATCACACGTAACAATCCTATAGATGGATTATTTATTTGGCAGCACAGTGGGTGCGCCGCAGCCTGAGTGCAGAAAGTGCCGCTGTCTGTGTGTGAACATGAAGCTGCAGCATTCACTCACACTGTTGTCGGCACTAGAACTGTTTATCACTGTGTGGTTAAATAAGTTATGAGGCTAAATGAACATTAGTGAGTGGGATACGTCTTAATGAGCCGTACGTGTTAAACGCAGGTGAGTGCGTAAATAACGAGAAGAAATGTCTCAAACTTCAGTAGTTGGACATCCACTCATACCTGATCCATACACCTGTCCCCGCCCCCCGAGAGAGCCTGAAACCTGCTGAAATCTACAAGACACTGACATGATACAGACAGGACAGAGGCTCTTTCTGCAGGAGACATGTGCAGCACCAACTGACATAGTCTGAAAAATAATGCCTGCTTCTATACATGCTCATGGTCAAGTTCTAAAACATGAGATGATAGAGCAGTCCACAACTGTACAAATAAAACATAATATGTGTCCTTTAAAGGTCAGATGTTTCACAAACTGGATTCTTGTGAGGTTTAAGCCATTAAAAACACACCTGGAGTTGTGTTTGTTTCATTCACATATCTTTGAGTAACGTATTATTAATACTCTTTTCATCTCCAAAGCTCAAAGTGCTCTGTTCTGTGAAGGTGATTAAAACACAGTGGAGCACCATTGTTCCACACACTCTGTTCTACCATATGACATCACAAGGTGGAACAGAGTCTTTTCAGTTTGAAAGAACTCAGCCTAAATGTGCAGGATTTGTGTGTTAAACATGTGTGAATGAAACAAAACACAACTCCAGGTGTGTTTGTGATGATAAAACATCACATAGATTTATAAATAGTGTAATATGTGTCCTTTACGTGTCACTCACACCTCCAGTGCCAGCCGCTACATCCATGCAGTAAACTGTTAACAGACTTCATAATTATGTTAACTGTTAACACCTTACAAAGATGGCTGACGCCTCCAGGCTCGCAGAGAGCGCTCTTCTGCTTCTGGTCTTTATTCCAGGCACATCTGACGCTGTTTATTCACACTCTGTTGGATGCCCCTGAATGCAGCGTAATTACCACTAATGACTTTAATAATCAGATGTTTTTGAACAATTTTGACACGAGCTAAAACTAAATAATGCACGAGTGCTTTCAATTCAAAGTCTTTATGGTTAATTCTAAACAGAACCAGCGCGATGGGAGATTTTTGAGTCCTTTTGAGGCGCTGAAGATGCGAGGGAGGTGATTTTTGCAGACATTGGTTGATGCTGAAAAGCGTGGGCTGTGCTGTTGCGTATGGAGTATAAATCTGGTGCAGTGGATCCATAGAGAGAGAATGTGGATGTTTTGGACAAATATTGCGCTTGCAGCAGTGGCGTCAGATGGTGATTCATACAGCGCGTGTTTATCTACAACAGATACAGTGATGAATGGACTCAGCAGATGGCCTCTACAGTAAATATTTGAGAAAGCACTGCACTGTGGAGTTCGATTTAGTGAAGTTACAGATGACAACCTGCCCTAATAGGTTTAGCCTGTTGTCTGTAGCATTAACAAGTGGTGTCTTTAAAAGAGGGCTATTAGGGAAAATCATTTTTGGAGCTTTCTAAGGTATAACATTTAATCATCAAAAACATGCCTTAAGATATTTCACATGTCATCTATGTTTAAATAATCTAGCAATCTCTCCTGTGCCCTGTTCAAACCCTCATTACGGTTACCTGTAAGATTGTGTTCAGTGCCCAGGCTCCCACACCACAAGCCTCCATAAATACACAAAAACATGATACAAAACTGTACACAACAACCACAAACCTGATACAATGTGCAGGAGTTTCATAAGTGGGATGTACGCTGATTGTGTTGTGATAGTGCTCTGAAGGGGGAGTGACTTAGTGTGGAAAGCAAAGTGAAGGGGAAGCAGAAGCAAAAGTAAAAAAAACATGTTAAAATGTGTTTTTCAATGATTGTATCATTTTCAAACCATTAAAAGGTAACATGGTGTTGTAAATATGTTATATGTTAGAACTTTATACTCCAGAGAAGTCAAACAGCCCGTCTTTAACATGCAGCACGGTTCATATACTGTGCCGTTCATAAAACTAACAATTACATCTGTACTGATGCGCTCCATGAAGCAAAAAAGTAATTAAAGTTATCTGGTGCTAATTACAAAGTAGATTCTATAGGGTATGGAGTACACAAACTGTACCATTGAGCCAACTAAACAACACCTAATGCTGTAAGTATTATTAGACTCAGTACATGATTTTTACTGTTAAAAACAGGAAAAACACAACAGTTATTCCTCTCTTACCTTATGCATTCTGAGCATTCTAATTATACAGCACAGTGAGTTTACAAGCACTTTTCACAACTCACAAACCAGATCAGACTTTTGCCTTGACATGAAAAGCCTATTCATACTTCATAAGAACATAAGAACCAGAGCTGGCTGAACAAAATGACATCATAATGTTCAGCCAGTTCTTGCAGCTTGTTCTCGACATTTGAGCTGAGAAGAACTTTGTTCAGCTGCTCATCTGACATCTTCTCTGTGATTGGTTATTTGTGTGGGCATGGTTTATCTGCTTCCTCGCCAGTGCGAAGCAAGAACAAAAAGGATGGTTTTGAGTCACAGCTGGAATAAATGGTGAGAAAATACAACCATCTATACAACACCACGTTCAGTGACTATAAAGGCGCGGACATCAGTGTAGAAAAGTGTGGCATAATCTTTGTGACAAGTTTACAAAACCCAAAAGGCGGGTCACCAAAAAAAGAGCGGTCAGGCTGGAGGACGAAAAGAAATACTCTCACTATATCCCTGCAGTGGCTGGACTCCTTCATCAAACACAGAGAAACGTCACCAATATGACTCCAGTTCAAGTCAAACAAAGGGAAGATATTAATACTGAGCTAAAAGGAGTGAGGGGGCGGGGCAGAGCGAGGGGGCGGGGCAGTTCTGCAGCAGAACATCATTTGAAGTATGAAATGTCCAAGCCCAGATGAACTTTGGTCTTGTTTTTAATCACCTCAAGAACAAAGTGAACAAAGTTCTTATGTTCTTATGAAGTATGAATAGACCTCAAAACAACAACCACTACCATGCTAACTCGCACTTCCTGATTATCGGACAATAAATCTCTTTATGAATAGATGCAGACAGTAAACTGCACACTTATTTTAACCTCAAGAGCTGCTTCTACAATCTCTCTGTACTGGGGTGAGACGCATTTTCCATGAGAAAACCAGGGCCTTTAAAACGCCTGCAGGGTTTCTTGCAGTTGACTGTTCCACAGAGCATTTGTGGCTCTATTGAAACTTCAAAAGTAGTTCACAAAGCCTGAAGAATGCAGAGTATGTGACTTGTGCTCTTACTAGTATAAAGCAATAGACCGGCATGTTCTCCTAATCAAACATTAGCAGCTGATCTTTTAGCCCTGGTCAGTGACATGTGTCTGAAGAATAGAATGTATGGACATGGCTGACCCACAAGCCATCACATTCCAAATAGGAAGTACTTCTGCTCCATCGACTCTGCCTCCTAATGACTTTACATTGAAAAATCCATAAATAAATCCCTATTCCTATTACTATGGAACACGGCTCCAAATTTGCTCCTATAACGTCTATGGTCTGGATGGAGGCAGTGATCCCATTAATACAGGAAACTATGGTGCCCCCCACAGTTTAAAATACCACCACCACCACCACCACCAGCAGCACCACCATAGTCTAAAAACAACCTGGATTATAACATAACAAAATTAAACTTTGTTGCTCATTGTATTATCATAAACTGACTGGTTAAAGGTGAAATACCAGCAGTGACATTTATGCCTCACAAACACACAAATCCTAGTCGATGTGAAAACCTGACAGACTGCTGAAGGTGTACGTGTCACGCTGGTACCTTGATGGCCTTCTGGATGGCCACACAGGAGGTGCGGATGGTGCACAGCAGGTGGTTGAAGCGGCCCATCTCCTGCACCAGCACCGTGTTCATGCTCTGGCTGTAGTTGGTGGGGAACTTCATCATCGCAGACTCCAGGTCGAAGTCTGGAGGGAGTTTGCTCAGAATGTCAGCCGCCACTTCGAAGACCAGGTCATCAGAGGACTGTCCATCCCCACCTGTGGCCCGGGACTGGACACAGACACAGACACAGACACGGACACGGACACAGACACAGAGGTTAGGACTGCCTCAGTGACACAGACAGGACATGCACACTCCACTCAGAGATCAGAGGTCTAACCCAAAATCTGCTTCCTGAGAGGAGGAGACAGGATAACCACTCTGCCACAGTAACACACTCAGTCAGATAAATAGAAATGCACATAGTTAACTCACTACCCGCCTTGTACCAAATACGAAGTGAACATGGAGGTGCTGCCAGTGTTCTGTCAAAATAGGCTGCTCCATCGAAATGAGCTTCCAGCAACCTAAATCGACAGTGTCATCTATCGATTCACGATAGCCCGTCAAAATAAGCGACCTTATGTTTTTCCGTTTACAGTTGTGTAGATCCAATAAAACCCAACCCTGACCCTGACCTCAACAGTCTGACACATGTTTCTTTGGATCAGAGACGCAGGTTTGATGTTGTTCACACATCATGATCACACTTTATACTTTAGTGTTGTAAAATATCCATCGAATAATGCTCCCACTGTACAATCAACATTATTCACTCATTTAGATGAATTTGGGCAGAGCTCGTCCACAGGCCCATATCTTTAATGAATCATTAATTATTGCATTTATATAGCGCCTTTCAAGATACTTAAAGTGCTTTATACGTCATTGTTCATTCACTCAACACTCAGTGGTGTAAACTACTACTGTAACCACAGCTGCCCAGGGGCAGACTGACAGAAGCAAGGCTGCCAATCTGCACCATCAGCCCCTCCAACCACCATCATCTCACCCACACAACACTTTCATACTAGGCAAAGTGGGTGAAGTGTATTGCCTAAGGACACAATGACACCTGATTTTCCCAGTGGTCTCTAGGGCTGGGTATCATTAAGAAGTTGCCGATACAATACATACCTCGATACACAGGCCATGATACGATACATATCTCGATACAGTGCACTTTCGATTTGATATGATATATTTCAAATCGATTCGATACGGTTCAATAAAAAATAAAGGCTAAATCATGTCTGTGATACTAAAAGTCTTGGTGATATATTGATACAGCAGCCCACGATATCGATACTGTATCATCACATTAAATGATACGATATATCGATATTCCGATATTTTTGCACACCCCTAGTGGTCTCCCATCCAAGTTCTACCCAGGCCCAGCCCTGCTGAGCTTCTGAGATCTGACAGGATCAGGTTTTGACAAGTCGGTGTGGCGACGGCTTTCTGTCAAATACAACTCCCACTATAGAGAAAAGAAATGACTGGAAACACTGAAATCTTTATATTATTGAATTATAATAGAGTGATATTTGAAAGTTACATTTTCAACACATGGAAACAAAATAAAATATGATGTAATGAAAATGATAAAATCAAATATTAAATCCAAACTGTTCAATCATCTAACGCAGGTTTTGTGCAACAAAACCAACACACACATGTCGACATTTAGAACTGGTCCAATACACTTTTAACATGTGACTTGTTACTCCACTTCTACCTCGGGGGTCGTGCACATGTGCAGTAGCACTAGGAAGCTCAAATCGATGGGAAGCTCAAATCAGCAAGACACGGCTCCATTAACTCAAGTCATTTTGGTCTTAACATGTTCATATTAACCCACACTACATGATGATCCTGGGGTATTTATTGCACTATTTTGTCCGTAAATAAAATCTTATTCCTAATGTGGAACTCAGCTCTAAATAACTGCTAGCCTTGTGAGCTTCATTTGACTTGAGCTGAACACTGTGGGTGACGTCACCCTGCCTCAGTGCACTTCTTATACAGTCTGTGAGTGTAATCCTGGAGAGGAGGTGACAGGATCGCCCCTGTCTATGGTTCTGTACACTAACAACACAGCGCGCTTGAATCGAGTGAATAAATGCAAAGCAGCATTAGTGTGTGCGTCCTTACAACACATGTTCCATATCATTTGGTGTGTGTAATTGTATTTGTGTGTTGTTTCGATCGGCTGTGTCGTTCCATCACGGCTTGTTTATCTGTCGACTTTACAGAGATCATTAATTTGCGCTGTCAGGCCCGGGTGAGAGCGGGAGAGGGATGGCCTTGTGGTTTAGCGCTCAGATGAAGATGCATGGATAAAGACTGGGTGCTCCACACATCAGTGAGATCCCATCTGAATCACATTTAGCGCTGTTGTAATGGCGGCGCAGACACACGGGCTCGCCCCGCGCTCACCCACTAAGGGACTATTAGATCCTCGTTAGACATTTGTTAAACTGCAGCAGGAGATGAAATGATTGTGATGGCTCTTTAAGTGACGCTAAAGACGACATTATTTCTCCACAGTGATCAGTTCTCACTCCGACCAATCACACGAGACTCTCTGAAATAAGGCGGGGTTACGCTCGCTTCACTGTCTCTGATTGGTTGTTTGATTTAGATTTTTGAACAGGTGAACTCCACCACACCCACAGTAACAGGAGGACTAAAGGGAAGAGTGACGGGGACTGGAGGACCAAAGGGGAGAGTGAGGGGGGAGGATAAGGGGTCTGAAGGACTAAAGGGGAGAGTGAGGGGGAGGAGGGGACTGGAGGACTAAAGGGGAGAGTGAGGGGGAGGACAGGTGGGGTCTGGAGGTCTAAAGGGGAGAGTTAGGGGGGAGGAGGGGACTGGAGGACTAAAGGGGAGATTGACAGGGGAGGAGGGGACTGGAGGACTAAAGGGGAGAGTGAGGGGAAGGAGGGGACTGGAGGACTAGGGGAGATTGACGGGGGAGGAGGGGACTGGAGGACTAAAGGGGAGAGTGAGGGGAAGGAGGGGACTAGAGGACTAAAGGGGAGAGTGAGGGGGGAGGATGAGGGGTCTAGAGGTCTAAAGGGGGAGAGTGAGGGGGGAGGATAAGGGGTGTGAAGGACTAAAGGGGAGAGTGAGGGGGAGGATGAGGGGTGTGGAGGACTAAAGGGGAGAGTGAGGGGGGAGGATGAGGGGTGTGGAGGACTAAAGGGGAGAGTGAGGGGGAGGAGGGGATTGGAGGACTAGAGGGGAGAGTGACGGGGGAGGTGGGGACTGGAGGACTAAAGGGGAGAGTGAGGGGGGAGAATGAGGGGTCTGGAGGACTAAAGGGGAGAGTGAGGGGGGAGGATGAGGGGTCTGGAGGACTAAAGGGGAGAGTGAGGGGGGAGGATGAGGGGTCTAGAGGTCTAAAGGGGAGAGTGAGGGGGGAGGATAAGGGGTGTGAAGGACTAAAGGGGAGAGTGAGGGGGGAGGATGAGGGGTGTGGAGGACTAAAGGGGGAGTGAGTGGGAGAAGGGGTCTGGAGGACTAAAGGGGGAGTGAGGGGGTAGGAGAGGTCTGGAGGATTAAAGGGGGAGTGAGGGGGTAGGAGGGGTCTTGAGGACTAAACGGGAGAGTGAAGGGAGCGGGGAGGAGGGATGGAGTCTGGAGGACTAAATGGGAGAGTCATAGCGGAGGAGGGGCGGGGTCTGGAGGTGTAAGAACAGTGTGATTGGTCTAACAGGTATCCACACTTCAAACTCCGCCCCTGCAGCCAGGTGTTTGTGTCAGAAACACCTGGGCTTGAATCCAGGCAGTTGATTTAGTGTTTTGGTCCTGTTGTTCAGACCTGGGAGTAAGTCCTTTTTAGACCTGGTTTTGGCCTACTTACTAC